CTAGTACGCATGCGTGCACGAGGACACCGCCGGCCCCGTTCCAACCGAACCGGTTGGAACGGGGCGAGAAACCCACCCCTGCATTCAGTGTACAAGACGCCCTCAAATTTTCACCCTCTTTTAGGGGTCTTATACTCCAAAAAATACGGTAGGTAACATCATCAGTCCAAGGGGGGGTTTATTAAATGGATGGGAAGGAGCTGAGGAGAAGGATTGCGGGGGGGGGGGGGTTGATGCTCTCTGAGCTTGGTAGTTTTCTTGCAGACATTTCATGACCCAACTAGGGAACATCATCAGTGTGAAGGAGTGTGAGCTTTGCCACTCACACTGACAGTGTGACCTAATCTGGGTCATGAAACAGCCGCAAAAAAAAACCAAGCACCAAGAAACCCACTGGTTCGTATCTTAGCTAACTTTGATTAATTTTAATATTTAACATTTAAGAATGTTTTATATTGTCATTTTTATACGGCCGTACGCTGCCTGGAGTCTCCTCTTGATAGTGAGATGGGCGGTGTATAAAGTCAACCAATAAGTAAATAAAGTAAGCCAGGCGAAAGCTCCCCGGAGGAATTGAAAGAAGAGAATCGGTCGCCAAATGCTAAGGACTCTCGTCTCCTCCAAGATGAAGAAAAGCAGAACTTCTGCCTTTCTCAAAATAAATACATAAATCAGAGACACAAAAGCTGTCTGAAAAAGGGGAAGGGCCTCACTTCCCCAGTTTTTGCAGGACAGAAGAAGGAAGTGACATAAATTGTGGGTCACGGGATTCCATTCACGCTGAAGAACCTTGAGGGTCAAGTTGGAGAGCAGCCTGGTCTCTCAGGAGGAAACCCACCAGGTCCTCCAACCTAGTGCCTTCTGGGTTGGATTGCAAATCCCATGCTGTTTGAGGAAGATGGGTGTTGTCATCCAATGACTCTGGACAGGGCAGGGCAGGATAAAGTCTTGTGCAAACTTCTGAGCTGTGAGACTTCAAATGTGTGAAGCAGGATGGAGAGCAGGGACTTCTGAAGTTCTTCTTTCTCCTTCTAATGGTTCCTGGTCACCCAAATTCAGAGGACTGAAGTGGGGAACTGTGCCCCAAAATAACACTTTCCATTTGTTGACGTGACCTCCATTGCTCAAAGTCAACAAAGTCGCTAGTCCTCTTAGTGTTTCTCAATTTTTGTAGCTTGGAGATGGGTGGACTTCAACGCCCAGAATTCCTCAGCTGGCTGGGGAATTCTGGGGATTGAAGTCCACCCATCTTCAAGCTAGCAAGATTGAGAAACACTTCTCTTAGTCTCCTCAGCCCAAACTCCCACTAGTAGTTCTGTCTTTCTCTGTGGTGGGCCTCCAAGAGTCTTGGCCAACATCTCAGTGAGGACACCACTTCCTCTTCCTGCGAGAAGCAGACACTGCTATGGTAACCCTCAAGAGAAGAAGTCCAACTAGAACCTCAGTCCAACCGCCCGCCCTTCTTCTAACATAGGTGAGACACTAAGGCCCTCTTTTCAATGTGACGTTGGGCTCCATTACAGTCATACCTCGAGGACTGGGACCAAGGGTTTTGGGGGAGGGTCACAAGAAGTGGTGGGATTCAAATAATTTACCAACCGGTTCTCTGCCTTAATGACCAGCTGGGTAGGTGGGGCTTGGTGGTCATGTGACTGGGTGGGTGTGGCCAACTTAACATCACTCAGGTCGATGGGCGCTTCACCTNCTGCAACTGTTCCTCCTAGCTTCCATGGAAAAATCAATGGGGAAGACAGCAGAGAAGATGCTGGAGTAAGTCTCATCCTTGCACTCTCCCCTAGCCTCTCTGTGATTCATACCACGCTGGCCACTTCCCAACTCTCACCTTCCCTGTAACCTTCTCAACCTGCACCACACCCTCATATATCCTTCCTAATCTTCCCTTGCACTTTTCACAATCCAGTTGCATCTCTTGCACAATCCACGTGGGATATAACTCAAATGCAAATAAATATTATCCACCGCTGTTTCTTCTACCTTATTTACACTTTTGTCAATCGAAATAATGTCAAATAAATAGTGGATAGTATTTACCACGTTGAGTTATCCTTTGTAGAATTCTCCCGCAGCGAGTGGGCCCGTAGCGAGTTAGCCGCAGCCAGTTCTCCCATGGTTAAGTTGGTGTAGTGATAGGGCCATGCAAAATTGGCTGCAACAAGTTGTCCAATTCCACCTCTGCAGCCTCACACATCGTCCTGACCCATGTTGAATCTCTTGCACACCCCAAAACACTCAAAACCTGTGCATCTTCCACTCTTGTGCACTCTCAACTCCCACCATACCCTTTATGTGCCCCGACCCACATTTCTCACATACACCCCCAAGCATCCTTCCCAACCTAAACCTCATGCATCCCTACGCATCCCCTTACTCCCTCGAGTTACTAATTTGTGTACCAGTGACTTGTAACTTCCTGCCAGGTTACGCAATGTCTTTGGTTGTTCCTGCCACATAATGACATGAGATTTGGTTAATGATGGCAACCAGGATTGGCGCTGGAAGAAGAGGACTACTTGAACACACGTTAATTGAATACACCATCTTCTAGGGCTTTGAAAGATATGCCTCCTTTCAAATGGTCCAGGTAATTAATTCTATACTACAAGGATCAAGCCTGAGATGCATGTTTGCAGGATTATATAAGAATCTAAGGATTCTTTAGATGGAATTCCTAAAGATTTTTAAAATTATTTCCATCACATCAATCATGGGGCAAAAATAATAGAAACCATAGTTAGTAAAACAAAACTGTTTAAACCCGTTTTAAATCAAGGTAATTTACCATGCAAAGACCCCTTTTTAAGTACAACTTAGTGATGTATTGTAGACAACAATTCTGAATGCCAATTGCAATTTTGAAACAGGTTAGACTTTGGCAAGGTTAATAATGTCTACGGAACTTGCCTGATTATTAACACATGTATATATTTGTTTCATCTTTGTTATATGCCACCCAGAGTTGTTTTGAATTGGGTAACCACATAAATAAATAATTCATCTTGGTAGTTACATCATGTACTAAGAAAAATATTTTCCCCAGTGCCACACTCAATAATTGGATGCACCACATTGTTATAACTGGTCCCTTTTTGCCTTAAATTTGGGGAAATTTAACAAGTTTTACAGATACTGTTATTCTAATAGTTACGATTCAGAGTTTCATTTTTAATAAGCAAAAATATCATTTATTTCTATTTTATTTAGACCATTTATATGATGCGTATGTATACATATAAA